TTAAGTTGGGGCAGGAATGCAACACACGTTGTCCATATATCATAGTGAGTGCATGGTGTTTTCCAAACAAAGCACAAACAGAATATCATCACTACTCTCATCATCAACTGCTTCTTTTTCCCCCATCTTTCCCATCTTATCTTTATGGGTCAAAAGCAAGCTAGCTAGCTAGCAATGAGGTACTATACAGACATAGTGGGAGCAGGCAAGGAAAGCAACCAAATAAAAATAAAAAAATCGCATTATTGAATTTGGACTCCATTATTTGATCGAGCAGTTGATGAAAAATATGTATACAATGCAAAGCAAGCACCGAACCTGAAGAGGGTAGGTTATGACTTCCGTCCAAGCAAGCGGAACCATTAGATATAGAGTATGGTTAATCTGGTTGCTCACTGGTCTCCAACTGTTACAACAACCAATTAGGTGGAAACAACTCAACTACCTTTGTTAATTTTCTGTGCTTTTATTATTGTTGGCTTAATTATGTGTGGTTATGGTGGAAGAGAGGATGAATTGTTATTAAAGAACAGATAATTACTCTCTAAGCAATCAGTACAAATTGTGACCCATTAGACCCCAGCAGTAGTAGTTGGTCTGTCCCTGACGCTGGATAATATCGGCTTAACGCCTAAGATATCATCTTTCTCATCAAATTCCTGGCCACTCGTTTAGTGATTCTTGACTCGTACGAAAATATTAACCAGACAATGTCGCAACTAATAAGATAGTTGTGAGTCTAGTGTTGTTTTTAACAAATAAGAGAGGATTACCTTTCGTTCTCGAAACTCGACTTTGAAATTAATTAAAAAAAGAACAAAATAAAATTCAGCACAAAAGCAGGCTGGCTAGATATTCTTACATATGAGAACATAGTGATGAGGGGAAAAATCCAAAACTACCACTATAAAAAAAATTACAAAAATATCACTCATACTCAACAATTTCCAAATATACCACACTTCCACACAAAACGCGTCTCGAACGCGCGGTTATAAATCAAAACGCGCCTCGAAGGCACGGTTCACAATCAAACCGCGCGTTCAATAGGCGGTTTGACCCTTCCTGTCTGTCAAACCGCGTTGCCACGTGGTGGCTCATGCGACCGCGCGATGGGGAGGCGATCTGACGGCCAAACCGCGCGCCAGCTCAGCGATCCGCGTCGCTCAGTCAAACCGTTGCCCCGAGGCGCGATTTGCGCGTTGGGGAACGTAAACCGAGCGCTGGAGGCGTGGTTTTAGGTGGGTAAAAAGACGAAACCGCCCCTCCAGCACTCGGTTTCGTCCCTATATAAACCCTTTACCCCCTCCCATTTTCTGCACACCAAACTCACATCCCCCCCCCCCCCCCTCTCTCTCTAACTCCTCACTCTGCCCACCCCCCTCCCCACCCAAAAACCTTAGAATTAGTTGTTTTGTTGGTTGCGGCTAAGTCCGGTCTGCCTTCAAAAAACTTTTTCTTTGGTTTTCACTAAAAACCCGTCGAATCTCTGTCCGGATTCTGAAAAAATGGCCGATTTTATCCAAGAAGAGGGTATTTACTATGATGATTATCAAGCAGTACGTACTCATTTTACCCAATTGTTGTTGTTGTTATAATGATTGATTTAATTTATATACTAATTGATTTATGTTGTTGTTATGCTATCGTAGGTTGGGCCAGATGTTGATATATACAATCAACGATATTATGTTGATCAATGACCGATTGATCCGACTATTTTATACGATCAAGCCAATCATCGTTCAAGAGACGTTTGGAACGACCACAAGGTACATATTATTTATCATCACTTGTAATTTGTATTTTGTTAAAGTAATTTATTTGTTTGTACAATAATTTACTTAATTATTAATCGTATTGATTATTTTCAATAATTTAAATCAATACAATACAACACTTATTTAGACTCTTTATAAAGAAATGCATGTCTAAGGAAATGGGGACTTAAGCGATCATCATGATCCCCCATGACCTGGAAAAATCGGGTTCTAAGCGATCCTCGGATCCCCCCTTTTTCTGTCAAAAAGACTGTGTTTCTAAGGAGATGTATACCTCTCCTAAGAGTCTTACGAGTGTACTTCATGGAGCTATTCAAGCATCGGTCTCGTACGGACCTTCATTTTATAAAAATTGCCACCGACGTAACTTACACCCTTTTCGGTCTCTTCCGTGTAACCATTCCACCGCAACCCAAGCGTGAACCTTTGGAATGTCATCTGCAATAAATCTATAATTAAGTTACTAACATAAAATCACAAAGGACAATGAAAAGTAATACAAAACAAACTTACGAATTAACGTTAATCGCAAAAACTAAATAATTTAAAGGTGCACAACTGAAATTTGAAGGAGGAGGAGGAGTGTGAAGATTTTGAAGAGTGAAGAGTTTGAGTTCTCTGAAACAGCCTTTTATAGGCGAATTTTGCAGTACAAACCGCGCGCGCGGGGGGGGGGGGGGGGGGGGAGCGGTTTTAGGTCTGCCATGCAGCCCCACCCCCTGCATTCCGACATGTTGGATGTCGGGTGACCAGCCACAAACCGCGTCTTGGGGCAGCGGTTTACTTTGCACAAACCGCCATTGGGGGAAGCGGTTTATGTCTGCAGATGGTAAAACGCCGCCTGGTGGTGCGGTTTACCAAGCCGACATATAAACGCTTCGTAAGGAAGCGTTTTGTGGTAGGGCAGCCATATAAACCGCGCCAAGGAGCGGTTTTACCTGAAATGGAAAACCGCCTGTTGACCAGGCGTTTCTGATGTAAACCGCTGCCTGGTGGCGCGGTTAATATATTAACCGCCCATTAAAGGCGCAGTTTTTAATAAACGGTGGTATTTTTGGAAATTGTTGGGAGTGGGTGGTATTTTTGTAATTTTTTTTAAACAGTGGTAGTTTTGGATTTTTCCGTGATGAGGAAGGTAACAACCGAATATGATTCGTTAGACTACATCGACTAAATTGTCTTTATATTTGTCACGGACTTGTCGTTGACTCATGGCTAGGGTTGCAAATGAGCCGAGCTGAGCCGAGTTTTACCCCAGCTTGAGCTTGACTTGTTAACAAATGAGCTTAGCTCGAGCTCGAGCCATTTATTAACGAGCCGAGTCGAGTCGAGTTCCAGCTAGACTTGTTTACTAAATTCTTAGATCGTATTTGATACATTCATTTTGTATGCCGTGTATGGTACATGTGATTGATGTAACGACAAAAAAAAATAAACAAATATTCACCATTAATTAATCTTATATTATAATTTGTAGGTGTCATATTTTTTAGTAAATAAATTTTAACTAGTTCAAATCATGTTATTTTATAGTATCGAAACGATTTTGTACATAATTTATTTATAAATTTAAAAATAAGGCATATTTTCTGAATTATGAAAGTCCAAATTAGATCGATTCGTCCACAAGTCGGTGATCAAGTTGGCCCTCAAACCACAATGTTGAGACATCTCATGAGCTCTAAATGAGGCAACTCAAGAGTAGAGCTCAACAAGCCAACGAGTCGAGCTAGCCAACGAGTCGAGCTAGCTCGCGAGCTTCGCGAGCTGAACATAGCTAAGCTCAAGTTTAGCTCGTTAAAACTGGATACCATCTGGCATTATAAATCTCTTTAGCCTCAAGTTGTAAGCCCTTGGTCCAAATTATCGACCCTCCTATCTGGAAGAAAACATGGGATATTCTAGTTCCTCCTAAACTGAAGTTCTTCATAAGGCAGTGCCTGAAAGTGGTATTACCAATAGTAGTAGCACTTAAATCTAGAGGGGTTAATTGTCGTAGTCGATGCCCTGTTTGTTGGAGAAGTCCGATAAGTATTGAACACATGTTCTTCAGATGCCCTTTGGCCACCAGATTGTGGTCACTTATGGGCCTAAATGACTTCATTTCCTCGGCCCCGACTGTGAATTTCAGTCTCTGGTGGCGACATGTTATGCTTTCTGAGCACCCCCAAACCCACGTTCTCCTATACGTTTGCTATTGTGGAGAATCTGGAAGTCTCGAAATAAGGTGGTATTTGAGCATTATCAACCTCGTGTCCATTCTCTAGCTAGTCAATGTTTTTTCGCGAAGTCTCTTCCTCTCTCCCTCCGGTGCCCGTCCCTCCCCTTCAGCCCTCAAGCTCCCGCCTTCCCTCCTGGGTCCCTCCTCATGTTGGCTATCTGAAGATCAACTTTGATGTTGTTGTTCGTGCTTCTGGTTGCTCTTCTGGACTAGTGGTCCGTTGAATAGACGGGCATGTGGCGTTGGCAGTAGGGTTCCAGCACCCAGGCATTGTTGACACCTACCTCGCAGAACTTCTTGCAGCTCGAGACGCCATCTCCCTCTTGGTCTCCAAGTCTCTTCCTCGTGTCATCATCGAAGGTGATTCAGAAGTGGTGATTCGTCAGCTTCGCCAGGGCATTTCTTTAGATTCCCTCGGAGGTCCGGTGCTTCGTGATTGTCTCCAGCTCCTGTCTTCAGTTTCTGTATCCTTAGAGTTTAGGGCAGTTCCTAGAACTGCTAACAGGGCTGCCCATAGAGTGGCGCGGAAAGCTTTGTTACTTTCTCCTCTTGAGATTTGTTCATTCGACTTTGTAGGGCAGCTTCACTGATGTATTGTTTTGGGAGGGTTCTTGGGTAGATTGTATAGTTTTCTCTATTGACAACTTGGAACGAAAAAAAAGTTTAGCTCGTTAGTAAACGAGTCGAGTTTCGAACGAGTTTTTTCCGAATCGAATCTCGAATTGCTCGTGAGTAGCTCGGCTCATTTGCATCCCTACTCATGGGTCATGGGCCATGCTTGAAATCCGGATTGATGTGTTCGATTTGAAGTAGGATAGGAGAGGATTGGATGGAGCAGTTCTGCAAATGACCACTTCCTCCAGATTAGGCCCATTCAATTAAGTCTTTTTTTTTGTTTGGGCTTAAGTTACTATGAACGTTTCCTTTTAAATGCAGATTAGGCCCATTGAATTGAGTAACCCGGCCCAATCGTCCAAATTGGTAAAGGAGGAAAACGAAGAGCAATCTGCTGAGTGAGTACTGAGTACTGCCTTCGTGTTCCCTCTGTTCTCTTCTCTTGCCGATCATTCACCGAAATCCCCTAAACAATGGCCGCTGCCGCCGCCTCTCGTCGTGGCGTCGTCTATACGGGGCGCCGCCTCTTCTCCTCCTCCTCCATCGCCACCGGTAAAAACAACCACAAGGAAACTCACAACTTCCTGGAGGCGAATTCTTTCTTGGGATGCTGGGAGGCGCCGAAGAATCCGAAGGAGGCGGAGAAGAGACTGGCGATGTTGCGAAGACAGTACGCGAAGCAATTGAAGGAGGTGCGCAAAGAATACATCGTGGAGATGGAGGCCATGCGCATGGAGAAGCAGCGGAAGGACGAAGCTAGACAAGAGGTGATCAGGATTGCGAACGAGGAACGCCGTAAGTTGAAGGCTGAGGCGGCCAAAGTTAGAGCGGAAGAGCGCAAAGTTGCTGAAGAGGAGTTCCGCCAAACCCTGGTATGTCCTCTTTTTTTCATCCTCACTCTCAACCCGTTCGGCACCATCGATTTTGTCGAATACGTGGTCTTTGTATCAATCAACAGAGGACGTTTCTTAGCATATATACCTTCTGAATTTGGTAGTGGTAGAACTAGTTCAGAGGGTGAATTGGGTTGTCATAAGAAATGCGTAGGGAACCATGGATGGTACATTGAGGTAATCTGATGTTAGAGATATCAATATAGAACATTTTGTTAAGTCTTGGGGCTTTTTGTCAATAGTTTAGTGAATGAGTTCGGGACACATAGGAAATCATGGATCTAACATTGAGGAAATCTGGTGTTAGAGTTGTCTAAGTGGCATTTTTGTTGTCTACGATGGTGTAGAGTTGAGTTTAGTCGAGATCCATGTATTACACTATTCAAATCGAATTTGGGTTCTTTGTCAGTATTATTGGTGTGGAACTGCTACCAATAACATTACCACCACTGTCCCAAGTGCCATCATAATGATTTCCCTTGCTGCCGAGGCAAAGATCTTGCCTTCAGGTCATCTTGTTCTGTGATGAAACATTGTTTATGTGTCTGATCAACAGCTCGGAGTCGCAGTCAATCTCTCGTTGACTGCTAGGGTAAGTCCGTGTTCTGCCCCACTCTTTTAGATTCCGCTAATCTTGAGGATGGGAAAGGCTTACATGAAGTCCATTAGTCAGAGCCCTGGATCATTTGGAAGATTTGAGGTTTGTATTTGCTTGTGATTGGAAGCGGCATGAGAGAGAAGTTGATCATGTGGAGGCATGTAGTTGATCTTCTAAGCTCTCGTCACTACAAGTATGCAAAACTCATCTTTTTGGTGCTGTGTTTATATGAGTTTGATACTGGAAGCAATCATTTTAGCACCCGTTACTTGCTTATCCCCTTTCATACCAAGTAGGTTGGGTCTGTGTACTGCGTTTTTTATTCCATCTTTCGCAGTTTACTCTTCTCTCTGTCTTCTGAATCTAAAAACTTGGGAAACAGTTTATTGTCAACGGCCTGTTAGATAGACACCAACCAGATGTCTTGTGGGTCTTTAGCAATTAGCAATCAAGTCTGTTTCCCACATTGGTAAGGTGGATTGCAAGGATTATGAGATTCCTGAATGTAGATGAACTGGGATGTGTGCATTGTTGCACAAGTGTAGTAACGACCGATCGCATCATTGTTTTGGATGTTTGACACGGTGTTTGAACATTGTAAATGCAGTTGAAAGAGCGAACGGAGAAGCTTGAGAATTGGAGAATGAAAGAAGCTAAGAGGGAAGAGAAGAAAAATGCTGCCAAGGAGCTGTTACGCCGGAGTAGTTCGCAGTGGGTTGACGAGGAGAAATTGGAGGGCCAGATAATAGAAGTTCTTTCTGGTCCATGGTCATTCTAAGTGTGCTTTCTTTTGCAAAACAGGCTCTTTATCTTTTACTCGGCAATAACAGACTGAACCAATGTATCGTTGGCGAATGGTGACTCACTGCATGCTGTCCAAGAAAGAGTTCGCTGTGGGTTGACAAGGACAAAGTGGATTAGAAAATGCGAGAAATGGGCTTGGGGGAAAGCATGGATGTCCATTGCCATTGGGTTATTCTGATGAGGCCCAAGGGATTTTCTGAGAAGGTCGGCCTGTTCTTGTTTCGGAGAAGATGGTACTTTCTTTCTTTGTTCCCATGATCATGATGTATTATTGTATTTGGTTCTTTCTTGGTCCTATTAAATCAGGAAGACCTCGGCACTTGAGCCTTGTTTGCTTCTGACTGTGAATTGTTTAATTGTGGGGAGTGGCGAGTTAACATTGAAACTCACGTTTCCCACTAATTTTCCCAGAAGGTACTTGCTTTTGCTTACATTTCATTGGTGTAATAGTAAAAACATGGTTTCCTTTGGTTTTTGGTTAATACCTTAGTTTAGCTCGAATTATAGACAAACTTTCTAATTTGGCTCGTGGTATCATAAATTGTTATTCTGACGTCAACTATATAGCATACTTCCTTATTTGGCCCAGAGGTGGGTTTACTGTCAAATTAGACGGTCAACTGAGTTGACCGTTAGTCAAAGTCCAACTCGCTTGTCATGTCAACTAGCAGAGAATAAGAAATTAATTAAAAAATACAGAAATATAATATCTTGGATTATTATTTTTATTTAATTAATTTAGGGGTGGGATAATTTGGGTTTTTTAATTTTTTTATTATTAGAAAGTAAACAAAATACAGAAATTCCAAAAAAAATAAATTGTTATTCCCTGCTAGCTGACGTGGCAAGTGAGTTGGATATTGACTAACGGTCAACTCGGTTGACCGTATAATTTGACGGTCAAACCCACCTCCGCACCAAATAAGAAAGTATGCTACATAGTTCGGGTCAAAATAGTAATTTCCGATACCACTAACCAAAGTAGAAAGTTTGTCTATAATTCGGGCTAAACTAAGGTATTAACCTTGATTTTTCTAATGTTTTTGCATAACGAAATGCATAGGGAATGAAATTCTCACAAATTTCTCATAATTTCCACGTCTGAGCAGTGAATAGTGCGATAAATAAGCTTGCAAGACATAGCACGGTAGTACCGGGTTTGGACCAAACAAGTATCTTATTTTTTTTAAAGAGTCCAAACAAATATCTAAAATACCAATGATAATATATTTGTACGGCCTGAACTTTGATCATAATAAAGATTCTGACCCATCTTTTTTATCTATAACATTCTGGCTCAAACTATACATCAAAGTAACCATATTGGCCAAACCCGTTGTTTGACAGTTAAATTGGATGGTCAAACGCGTTGACTAACGGTCAACGCGCCACGTAACTGTCAACTCAGCAACTTTCACTTATTTTTTATAATTTCCACCTATTCCCATTTTTTTTTCTTTTTGAAGCAAAAAAAAAAAAAACTCTTCCATCTCCTCTCTGGTACCTTACACTCCTGCTGCCTTCTCCTCTCCAATCCCCTTCCACTCCCTGCTGCCAAATAGTCCTGCGACTAGGGGTGGGCATCGGTCGATTCAGTCCAAGACCGGACAAAACTATTCTCGGACCGGACCAAATTTTTTTCTAAATCAAGGACCTAAGTCGAATCGTTATTACTTCGATTCGATCTGGATCAAACCATATGTGGCTTCGGCATGGACCATCCCATTGGACCGACTAATTTTCATTAGAATAAAATTACTCTTAAAGGACAACACAAGAATTAAAAAAATGTAACTACATAAAAGGAAGTAATCAAATTATCCCTATTAAATACTCCACAATTCTTAAAACCCACATGTTCCAAAATATTAGGCAATAAACGAGAACTACTTAACTAAAAGATAAAAGTCTTTTTATTCAATATCAAAGTAGTCTAACTAATTGCCTCTCTAATCTTCCATTTTCATTTCTAGAGTGCATGCTGGACCTCCCAACCTCCATAATTCCCACTGTTCATTAGAAAGGAGTTTAACAAAATGACACTTACTCCAAGAACTAATGCAATAAAATAAATTATTCTTAAACTTGCTAATTTGCAGTGGTGTTGTCAGACTTAGCAAAAGCCTCTGTGGTGTCATTTATTCGCATACTCTCCATATCTGAAAAATTAAACAAGAGAGAGATCGGATAGCATTCATACAAAGTCCAACCTGGCAATTAGAAAATGCTCTCGTCTACCTCCCCCGTCCCGTCTCCGGCGCCGACCCTGTCCTTGACCGGAAGACCGCCAGACCCTGGACAGGGGCCAAGATCACCTGTGTCAACCACTGTTCCTAATGGTAGCCCACCTTCAAGTTACAAAGCAGTCTTGGCAGGACAATCAGATGAAAACAGGCGTACAGCAAAGCAGTGGACGTTTGTGGGCGAGCATGATCTGGAAGCCACCACCTACGCCGGCGAGCCAGAACTGAAGGTATCCGACAAATTCAGGGAAAGATTATGTGACCCATGGAAGAAAACATTAGTCCTGAGACTTCTTGGGAGATCGGTGTCCTACTCATATCTGTGTTCCCAACTCAGATGGAAATGGCGACCATCGGGATCATTAGATATAATGGACCTCAACAACGAAACCTTCCTTGTCACATTCAGCAACGATCAAGACTACCTTCAAGCGCTCACTGGCGGTCCGTGGGAGATCCTGGATCACTACCTAGTCGTTCATCAATGGACGCCGACGTTTCGTACATCAGATAAACCCCACCGATCCGTGGTAGCCTGGGTTCAGCTACCGGAGCTCCCCGTTCATTTCTACCATCGGGAGGTCTTATTCGCTCTCGGTAACCTCATTGGGCGTACTGTGAAATTGGATTATCATACAGAGATGTTACAGAGGGGAAAGTTTGCAAGGATTGCTGTGGAGCTCGATATGACTAGACCATTGCCAACGAGAATCCGACTCGACGGCGCCTGGCAACAAATTTTGTACGAAAACCTCCCTCAAATTTGTTATGAGTGTGGACGAATCGGACACACGGAAGATAGCTGCCCGACGAAAGTTAAGATGATTCAACAATCTGACAACATGGCGACGGCGGGGCAACAACCACCGGAAAATCTGCAACCGGAGCCTCCCGCCGGCTACGGGCCATGGATGCAGGTCACGCGGAAGAGTCGGAAGAATTCCAGGAAAGGGAACGAGAATCAAGGGCACAATCAGGGTGTGCAATCCCACAAAAATGGCAACTCAAATTACCGTGGGGAGAATTCGGGAAAGAGTGACGCCAATCTCTCAACGGGCTCAAAAGAGAACAAAGGAAAGGCTCCTGCTAAGCAAGAGCAAAAGAAAGGAAATACCTAGAGCCAAAAAGGGAAGGTGAGTAATGCAGGGGAAGAAGCTACAAGAAAGGTCCCTAAAAACACTTCGTTGGAATGGAGAAAGGTTGGGCTGAAAGAGGGATCGGATCATGGGCCCAATAATGAGGCAAGTACTTCCTCTGGCCCAATCATTGATAAGCTACTCGACGGGTCACAACTAATGGAAGGGTTAGTTCTAACCCAGCCCAACATGGCCCATTCAAAGGAGGAAGCTGTTGCAATCTCGCCTCCAACCTCCTCGATCAGAAACCATTATCAGAAAACAAAGGGTGACGATCAAAAACGAAGGAAAAGTGGAACTCGCCTGAAAGTCTCAAAAAATAAAACCCAGTCCAAATCGGTGTCCAATCGAGAAGGCACCTGGAGAGTGAAAGATCAGGGCTTCCCTTTCACAACTCAAGCGATAGAAGAGTTCACCGCTCAAACGAAACGAAAGGAAAATGAATTCTGCGCTCTCCGCATGGACACGACCAAGGATACTTCAATGGCAGAAACTCCATTTGACGATCCCGGGCAACCGACGGCGACACACACGCCGCAACAGTCTGACCATTTGGCACCAGAATGACACTTTGCCAGGATACCTCTACCCCTTTTCTTTAATCTGTTTCTTATGTTTAGTGTCTTTAGTTGGAATTGCAGAGGGGTCAAAAACCCCAATTTTCTTTCTGTTTTCAAGAACTATAATAGAACTCATAGGCCTAATATCGTCATCATTGTAGAGCCTAGAATTAGTGGTGACGATGCAATAGACGTAATTAGCTCTATGGGTTTTGATAAGCATGAGAAGGTGGACGCAATTGGCTTCTCCGGGGGAATCCGGGTCCTTTGGAATAGCTTTGAGATGTCTATCTCTGTGCTCGACTCTGATTCTCAATACTTACACTTTACTTGTTGTGATCTGCAGGACAATATTATGGTAACAATGACTGCCGTCTACGCCAAGCCAAACATCTATGATCGTTGACCGTTTTGGGACTCTCTTCGGAGTATGAACAGACGCACAACTCTTCCGTGGCTCCTCCTAGGTGATTTTAACTCCATTACCAGCCCCTCGGAGAGGCAAGGGGGTGCAGAGTTCAACATCCATAGAGTGGAGGACTTCAATAGGTGCATTGAGGACTGTGACTTTGTTGATCTCGGTTTCACAGGGCCTCGGTTCACTTGGATGAATGGCCGATTATCCCAACGCCTGGATAGAGCTCTCTGCAATCAGGAATGGCTTCTTCAATTTCCTGAGTCATTCACCACTCATTTGCCCAAACTCCGTTCCGATCATAGGCCTATTCTGGTTCGAAGCAAGGCCCCCCTCCCCAACTCACAGCAGCGGCCCTTCCGTTTCCTGGCTCCATGGTTATCTCATGAGGATTTCTATCCCATGCTCAATGCTTCATGGAAAAAGGGTACTGATTTTATCCCCTCACTCCTGGAACTGCAACACACCCTCTGTAAATGGAATAAGGAGATTTGTGGCGACATCCTGAAAAGAAAAGTTGCTTTGTCCATAAAATTAAAGGATTTGGAGAAGCTGAATGGCCAAGCCAGCAGCCCCTTCCTTATTCAAGAGGAGAATAAAATTAGGGAGGATTTGGAGAGGACTCTTTGGGAAGAAGAAGTACTCTGGATGCAGAAGTCTCGAGCGAATTTTATCACAAGTGGTGACTACAACACCCATTTCTTCCATGTCGCAACCTTGGCAAGACGCAGGCAGAACAAGATTTTAAGACTCCAAGACGAGGAGGGCAGATGGGCTCAGAAATATGGCTAAGGACTTTTACTGCAAGTTGTTCACAGAGGAAGAGTTGGGACAGATCTTGATCCCTGCTTTTTTCGCTACCATTGAGAGTGACAGGCTCAAGGACATGGCAGCCACCCCTCCCATTGTTGAAACTAGACATATTCTTCAGAGTATGGGGGGTCTGAAAGCCCAAGGGAAGGATGGTTTCCACGCCTTATTTTACCAAAAATGTTGGGCGACAATTTGCGAGGACTTCCAAGCGTATCTGGTGTCGTGTTTTCAGGATCCATCTCAGATCAGTCACAGTAATGCTACGCTTCTTGCCTTACTGCCCAAGGTGGAGAGCCCGGTGAATATGGCCCAATTTAGGCCGATCGGTCTTTGCAACGTGAGCTATAAAGTTATTGCTAAATGCCTAGCTAACCGTCTGCAGAAACTCATGCCTGACCTAGTGGATGACACCCAAACAAGCTTTGTCCCTAAAAGACACATCACGGACAACATAATCATCCTGCAAGAAGTCATCCACACGATGTCCTTGAAGAAAGGGAAGAAGGGCATCATGGTACTCAAGGTTGACCTCGCTAAGGCTTATGACCGGATAAACTGGTCCTTCCTCCGAAACACCCTTGAGGCGGCGCGACTTCCAAATGATTTCATTGAACTGGTCATGGCGTGCATCACCACTACCAGTATCCAAGTCCTTTGGAACGGAAGCTGCTCTGAAGACTTTAAACCGACGCGCGGCCTACGACAGGGATGTCCCCTTTCTCCCTACCTCTTCACTTTATGCATGGAACGCCTAAGTCACTGCATTAAGGATTCGGTTGCTAGTGGTGCTTGGAATCCTATTTATTTGACCAATAATGGAACACCTCTAACCCACCTCTTTTTTGCAGATGACCTGGTGCTGTTTGGAGAAGCTAGCGTTAGCCAAAGCTCGGCTATTTTGGACTGTTTAGAGCGCTTTTGCTGGGCGTCGGGAGAACAAATAAGCAAGGACAAATCTTGTATCTTCTTCTCCAAGAACACGACAGCCCATACTAAAAGCAGAATCAGCCGGCAGATGGGTATTTCCCATACTAACAACATGGGAAAGTACTTGGGCGTTCCCGTTATTCATGGAAGAGTTACTCAAGGAACGTACAAGTACATCTTGGAGAAGTTGGACAAGCGTTTGTCGGGATGGAAAGTCAAAAACCTCTCTCTCCCTGGGCGAGTTACCCTCGCTACTTCTGTTCTTAATGCCCCACCTAACTATGTTATGCAAACTGTTGTTCTCCCTTTGTCTGTTTGTGATACAATTGACAGGAAAATCAGAAAGTTCATTTGGGGTGGAGAAGAGGGTAAACAGAAAGCGCATCTTGTTTCCTGGGAGAAGATCTGTAAACCAAAAGAAGAAGGTGGTTTGGGTCTTCGCTCGGCAAGAGCCTTAAACTTGGCCTACATGATGAAACTGAGGTGGATCTTTCTCAATCATGAAGATCAGCTATGGATAAAAATCCTGCAGGAGAAATATGTGAAGCAGAGTAATAATGGTGGCTTGATGTATAAGCGCGACCGTGTGTCTAGACTTTGGAAAGCAATATTGACGGCGCTGCCTATAATCAAACAACACACCATCTGGGATGTGAGAAATGGTTGTTCAGTGAAGTTCTGGAAAGATCCATGGTTGGCGGATGGCATTATTCTCCAAGAGCACACTACGGGGGCGAGCCAGCTGCCCAACTGGGATGCTTCAGTCGCTGATTTGAGCTTGGCCACAGGTGAGTGGAACTGGCCTAACATACTGCCATTCGTCTCTCATGAACTCTCTGCCCTTATTGCAGGAACGGATTCTCCAATCCCGGAGGCCGGCGAGGACATCCCGACATGGGGGCTGGAAGATGATGGGAAGTTCCGTCTCCGGTCAGCTTATACAGCAGCAAGCGCTTGGCTAAAAGGGGAAATGGAGGAGGAGAATGAAGCCCAAGATACCAAATGCTGGCGGACAGTTTGGAAGTGGAGTGGACCGAACAGGATTCGCCATTTCCTATGGCTTGTCTTCCACAACCGCTTGATGACCAACTGTGAACGAAAAAGGAGGAAACTTTGCAGCTCGGACACTTGCACCATATGCAATACCGATCCAGAGTCAACAGAGCACTTTATTAGACATTGCCCTGAGGCAAAAAAGGTATGGCAGCAGCTAGGGATTAGTGACAACACACTTACCTGCGGCCTTGACTTTTCAGGTTGGATGATGGCTCATCTACGGGACGCTAATCAAGGTAGGTTGTTTGGGGTGGCAGCTTGGTACCTGTGGCGGCGGCGCAATGAGCGAATCTTCAATAACAAATGGGAAGAGGCACACTCCCTTGCTTACCGTATTCAATGCTGGACAAGAACAATTCAACAAGCAATGGAGAATGACTCTCGTGCGCTGGGAAGAGACAAAGTCAAGCAGAATCAGGAGCTGGCCTGGGTCCCTCCACCAGAGGGATGGGTTGCAATCAACACGGACGGGTCTGTCAGACAACCCCATTCAGCGGCAGCGGCTGGGGGTCTTCTCCGGGATCACAGTGGCAAATGTCTCGGGGCTTTCTTGGCCAACTTGGGAGTATGCACGATCACAAAAGCAGAGATAAAAGGAGCAATACATGGACTTCAAATGGCTTGGGAGAAGGGATACAGGAAAGTGCAGCTCCATCTAGACTCTATGACAGCTTTCCTATTCCTCAGTTCGAATGACCATGAGACGGGCAGATTCTATAACCTTCATTGCATGGCGCAACAACTTCTTCACAGAGACTGGGAGGTGATAATCTCTCATACTTATAGGGAAAGGAATAAAGCGGCGGATTTCCTCGCTAATAAGGCTCATTCTTGTAGTTTTGGTTTCCATGAGCTAAATTTTTTAGATCCAGGTTTGAATTACTGGATTCTGTATGACTCTATGGGCATTGCCCAATCTCGATTAATCTAGTGCCAGGCAGGGGTACCCTTTTAGCACCCCACTTTTCACCAAAAAAAAAAAAAATTAAACAAGAAAAGAGAACACAATATAAATACCTGCTTCACAATGTGTAGGTAAAGTAAGCAACTCTCTTGATCGAAGCAACGCGAATGAAAACTCTGAACCTAATAATATTTATAGGTAGTTAAGTGTCATGTAGGGTACTAGGGTTTTCAAATCCAAGTCGACTTGCCTTCTCAGAACCTAATAAAATAGGCAATTAATTTAATTGCGATTCGGTTCGGTCCTTAGCTTGATTTTACGTTTTCGGTCTGGACCAAACCAAAATCGAAAATGTCCCAAATTCAGGAACCAAAGTCGAATCGAAAGATAAACAGTTCGATCTGATTCGGCGTGAGAGTCGATTCGGTCTGATGTGAATCGAATCGTTGCCCACCCCTACCTGCGACTAGGGATGGCAATGGATCGGGTTGGGTCGGGTTTTACCAAACCCAAACTCAAATACATGGGTTTATCCGTGAAAAAAAACCGGAGTAAAACCCACTGGGTTTGAAAAACTCAAACCCAACCCAACCCGCTGGGTATCTGCGGGTTCATTGGTACCTACGGGTTTTTGTCGTGAAAAATTTACAATAACAAGTTCCTATCAAAATTAAAGTCAAATATCAATCTCTCAATACAAATTGTCCATATATAAAACATCATTCTAGAAAATTCAAGCAAATCACAAATTAACTATACAAATTGTTCAACACCAATCTAGAAAACTCAAGAAAATTGAAGCAAATCACAAATTATCCATAAATAACATGGTTAATTGAAAGCTTCTTCCTTTCAATTAAGTTTCTTCACTCTTCACTCGGTAACATCAACTTCATTCTACACAATTAGAAAGAAAAAATTAGACATGTCTCCACAACATAAATGAGATTAGTTGTTTAGAATATTAAATATATCGAGAAAATTAATTATATGGGTGTGGCGGGTACCCATGGGCCGGGTTTACCTAAACCGAAGCCAATCTGGTGAATAGTAAACGGGTTTAAACCCAAACCCGACCCAAAACCCGTCAACACAGATTTTACCCGCGTTGACCGGGTTGGGTCGGGTGGGTACCCGTGGGTTCGGGTTTTGTTGTCATCCCTACCTGCGACCATCGTCCAAAAGTGAAGCCCATCGCTTCCAAGCCCCAGACTCTGACACGGATTCAGACTCCGATTGGGGCATTGACTCGCTGTTACTGTCACTCTAGAAAATGGCCAAGTGTAACCACTTCCTAAAGCGTAGTATAGCGGGTTTGGGTTTTATTGTCAACCCGGGTCCTAGATGTGATGACTACTCAGTGAATTCGTATTATCTAGCAATGCAACTTTAGTGAAGATCTAAACTAACAAGCAAACAAAACAACTAAACGGTTGTATTCAGGTTAAGAGAGGTCACCCGGATATGGTTCCCCCTAGTCTGCAGTTAAGCCGGATTGTAATTGCCAAGTTCGATTTCTATGATAGTTATACTGCGGAAGGTTCTCAAACAGTCTGAAGTCTCGACTAAAGGTCTTCAGACCCTCTCAATCTGAGTCTCTAGCTGGCGACTAACCTACACCGGAGTAAACAGATTGAGGCCCTATGAACAAAACCTCCACTACCGAATGGAATTCGGTACAGAATAGTGAACTGGCTCCTCGACTAAAGTCACCAATTCACTACCTTCGATTAAGGATACTCTATCAACCTAGGCAGATATTATCATTCTAGGTTAAAGCAGAAACAACAGGAATTTGATCAGGATTCATGCCATTCAATCATTCAAACCTCAATCGAATATAATCAATATCATAGAATCAATACTTGGGTTCATACAATCAAACCTAACATACAGAACTAGGGTTCCCCATACCCAGATGAATGGGAGAACTACTCCATGGAGAGAGAAGCAAAAGCAGAATCAGACGCGGAAATCATACTGTGAAGATGGATTTCTACTCCTGGACGTTGAATCGGCACTTCTCCAAGCTCAAACCAAGCTCCAATGGTGTTGAAGATCGATCTAGGACACTTGGAGGCTCTTGTTCGTCGCTTTCTCTCTCTAGGAACCGCTCTGTCTCTCAAAAACTCGAATCCCCTTCTGTTTGGCTCGGAATCCGCTTAAAAACCAGACTTTCCCGACTCGCACGGCCAGGGTGCACGGCCGTGCACATCACCATTCTGGCCGTGCACTCCAAAACGCGGCGTATCAATAAGTCGAACCTCAACCAACTCGCACGGCCAGGATTGCACCTTGCACGGCCGTGCGGATTTCACTTGTGCCCGTGCGTGCCCATGCACAATCCCGCACGGCCAGAATTATGTGTTGCACGGCCGTGCGTGGCCACGCACAATCCCGTGCGTGCCCACGCACAATCCCGCACGGCCAGAATTATGTGTTGCGCGGCCGTGCGTGGCCACGCACAATCCCGTGCGTGCCCACGCACAATCCCGCACGGCCAAACTGGTCACTTGCACGGCCGTGCGGGTTGTGGGTGTGCCCGTGCGACTTCCTCAGAACCTCGCCATGCGTCCGATCCTTGTCCAATCGACCTCAAACTCGCTCCCAAGCCTCCATTCACGTACTAGGACCTGAAATATCATAAACAAGCACAACCTAGCGTGAAATCGGCCTAAACACAAGAATCAATACCTCAAACGGAGTAAGAGCAGGGGTGAAAACATGTGTAAATAACGGTCTATCAGGCATACAACTTCGACGAGAACTGGACCAAGACCGTTGCCAGGCCCTGGGACCTGTAGTTTGTCGCGCCGGCCTCGCTAGGGCCTTCGACATCGGCCGCCAATTATGCGATAGTCTCGATTTCCTCATCCACCGCGTCTTCGTCTCCCGTTTCTCCGCTGCATCCAAACCGCCGCGCAAGCTGTGACAATTCCCTGCTCCGTTGACAGTGTCCGGCATTGGTTCAGTTTAGGGGCCGAACATTAGTTTGCTTGCCACTTTTCATGTTCCGCAACTAGTTCCCAATTTGATTTCAGTTGGACAACTTACTGAGCAAGGTTGTCGTGTTACTTTTGCACCTTCGGGTTGTGTTATGCAGGACCTGAAGACGGGGGAGGGAGCTCGGGAGGGGTAGCAAGCATGGTCGTGTGTTTCTTCTGGATCGGGTTTCCAAATCATCTACTGAAGCCGAGTACAGGGCAATGTCTGATGTTACTTCGGAGCTTGAGTGGCTCAAACGCTTGCTTGGCGACCTTCATGTGGATAATACCAGTGCTATTCGGATTGTGACGAATCCGGTTATGCATGATCGCACCAAGCACATCGAGGTGCACGTTCACTATATCCGGGATCTAGTTCGTACTGGTACAGTTCGCATTTTTTATGTGTTCTGAGGATCAGATTGCCGATATTTTCACTAAGTCCTTCACTACTAGTCGTCACTCTTATCTTGCTGGCAAATTGATGATGCGAGACCTCCATAAATTTGGGGGAGGCTATCGAGTGACGAGATAATCATATAATATGTGCGCTGAAGCCCAATTACGTAGACCATGTAATCTAGTAGTGTAGGCCTTAGTAGTTTGACGTAAAGCCTTGGCCGAACTCCTTCTTCTATCTCGGCTAGGGTTATCCGTATGTATATATGTGTGCTGCAGACCTTGTTCGAGGCTAAGTTAATACGAGTGACACTAGCTTCGGCCGTAGAGTAGTCTTGATCACACCGATCAAGGAAACCACGTAAATCTTTGTGTGTTATTTCTGTTTTGATTCTTCTAGCTTGTTTTGTGTTTGCTTCTAGATATCTACGTTCCGATTGTCTAACAATGTCAATTAATCAAGCTAAAACGCAAAGAACACAAGAACTTTTTTAACGTGGTATCGTCAGTATGACACTAGTCCACGGAGAGGATCTCCCTCACAGGTTTTAGGTTTTCTTATTTCATTAATCTTCCAGTACTGTTTACAACGATATAAATAGGATGCTAATACAACCCTAATCACCGAGTGGCTATTTACAACTTGGTACCTATCACTATTAACACCCTTCCTCAAATTGATGTTGGGTACGTAACATCAATTTGCCAGATAGGTACCAGTGTCGGCTTGAAGATACAGCTTTCGTGAGAATGTCTGCAGTCTGATTTTCAGTATTCAGATAACTAATCTGTATTGTCCCTTCTGCCACCAGCTGACGGATGTAATGCACATGAACTTCTATGTGCTTAGTACGATCATGCAGAACGGGATTGATTGCTATCTGAATTGCACTCAGGTTGTCTCCAAACAGGCGCATAGGCATTCTACAAGTAACGCCTAGCTCAAGAAATAATCTCTGCAACCAGACCATCTCGAAACTAACCTTAGACATGGACCTGTACTCGGCCTCGGTAGATGATTTTGACACCCTGTCTTGTTTGCTGCACCGCCATGATACAAAGGCCTTGCCAAAACGAATACACCAACCAGAAGTAGATATCCGAGTATCTAAACACCCTGCATAGTCTGCATCTGTGAATGCCTCAATTACTGCCTCCCCTCCTGTAGGAAAGAATAGACCAACCTCTGTCCTATGTTTGAGATACCGAAGAAGCCAATGAACTGCATCCAAGTGAGTAGTACGTGCCATACCCACAAACTGACTCACAACCTGAACTGTGTAGGCAATATCAGGCCTAGTATGAGTGAGGTAGATAAGACTACCTACAACACTACGATAAAAGGGCTAATCTTCAAGAAGATCTACACTCGAACGACTCAACTTTAGGTTCTGCTCCATGGGAGTAGT